CTCCTGGCATGTCTCCCTGTCAATTAGCTCTGGGGCAGCTATTATGTGTTCAGGCAGCTTGAGCTTAAGATCCAGATCAGTTCGGTCAGGACTCGGATGCGAAGGAGGACTCGATCCACAACACTATAGAGCACAATCGCGGCATGGCACATCGCAATTCAGCACGACGCAGCACAGCACAGACTTCGGCACGGTACATCAAAATCGATACACTTAGCATTGCAACCTGGCACGTTCCTCGGCACGTTCCGTCCATTGGCACGTTCCTTAGCGCGTCCCCTTGGCACGTCCGGCGGTGCGACCCCATGGCACGTTCCGTGGCACGTCGCCTGGCGCGTCACTTGGGACGTTTCGCGGCGCGTCCTCCTGGCATGTCCCCCTGTCAATTAGCCCTGGGGCAGCTACTATGTGTTCAGGCATCTCGAGCTTAAGATCCAGATCAGTTCGGTCAGGACTCGAATGCAAAGGAGGACTCGATCCACGGTGCTATAGAGCACAATCGCGGCATGGCACATCGCACTTCAGCACGGTGCACCACAGCACAGCCCTCGGCAGGATACATCAAGATCGATACACTCAGCATTGTATTTGCCCGTCACCCAATCAGGTGTCTTTGAAAACGTTGCCATGCGTTACATTTCTATATTCCTTTCCGGGTTCGTGGGTCGATCATGCTTTAATTCTTCGCCCAAGCTCCGCCTGTAGGGGGACACGCCCGACCTAAACCTGGCAGTCGGGGCACCACGAATTGGACGAGGCGGATCAGCATGCATGGTGAGGCTTCGGGTTGCGCACAGACAGTCCTGGAGGTTTTCGCCGTTTTCGGCCTCCGGGGGCCCTTCCCGGGCCTCGGGACTGTCGAAAAACGAGTCAGGATGAGAAGCCGGTCCCGAGGAAAGGGTCCAGACCTCTGAGGGTCGGCGTCCTCAAAAAAACACGACGTCGGAGGCCGAAAATAGCGGAAGCAAGAACCTCAGCAGGCTCCGCCAACACCTCAGATTCGGAGTGCCGAGCGCCCCAGGGCGCCGCTGGGGGTCGGAGCCAGGGTTGTGGTGGAGGATCGATGGAGAGGAAGCATGTCGCCAAATAACTTCCATATGTCTAAAAGATGTGTTGAATATGTTTTCATCATGTAAAACACATGTTTTGACAATCTCCAGGGCATGTCTCCGACATCCTAAAGACATGTTTAGTTCGATGGTAGGACTGTTAGGGTGTCCATTGTCGTGGCATCCACAAAGCCAGGGTGTCGAGACCGCCCTGGGCAGCCGGGACTATTCGGGGGGCCTGCTGAGGCCAGCCGAGACTACTTGGGGGGGGAGGCTGCCTGTGCGCAGCCCGAAGCCCTGCCAAGCATGCAGCAGCAGCAGCAGCAGCAGCAGCAGCAGCATCGTCGTCTTGTTCTGCCGCGCGATCTGCCGAGGCGTGCTTGCTGCGGCGATCCTGCCGATCATGGTGGCAAGGGGCCGATCAAGGCTCTGAACTGTCCCCAGTCCCCGGGTGCGTAGCCGAGATTGACTTCCGCGGGGCGGGTTGTCGCCGCGGCTCGCTCGCTGCTGTGGTTACTGACGTGCGCCGTCGGCGTGAGTTTGTTCCCTCTCCTCCTCCTTCCCCTTCTCCTCCTCCTCCTCCTCTTCCTCGTCCTCCTCCTCCTCCTCCTCCTCCTCCTCCTCTTCCTTGTCCTCCTCCTCCTCCTGCTCCTCCTCCTCCTCCTCCTCCTCCTCCTCCTCCTCCTCCTCCTCCTCCTCCTCCTCCCCCCCTTCTCCTCGCCTTGCCTTTCTCCGCCTCCTTGTCGTGTCTTCGCGACCCGTCCTGGGTCTTCCCGCGCTGAGCGATCGCCGGCGCCGCAGCCAAGGTGTTTCCTCATCGAGAACCAAAGATGCCCCAACCCAAACAACACGATGAAGACGTGGCGTCACTGAGGTTCCCGTCTTTGCACTAGGGATAAGAAGTCTGGACGGTTTGGTTCGATGCATCTGCAGAAAAGACTCCCTGTCCCTGATGCTTTTGACCCTCCTAACCTAAGCCCCCTCCCAAAGGGTAAGGTTTTTTTGGGGTTACTCCTGTCTGTTTCTTCGTTCGGAGCTTGTCGCCCTCTTTCGCGGCCGGCGCTCTCCACCTGACCTGGCAGGCGCGGTGCGGAGGCGGCCCCGCCGCGCCCCGGGGGCGGCTGCTGCCCCCGCGCTTCGTGTGTCCCGCGTCGCCGAGGACGAGCGAGTTTCTGGACGCGTTTCACACAGGGTCAGGCGGGAAGAAACGCACACACACAAGTCATCTTCGATCCCAAGGAACATTTGAAGCATAGGCGAAGTGGATGGAGAAAGGCAGACCTCCTGATAATGTGCTGAACATATTTGGGATCCTGGGATTTGCGTCTCTATTTCCTTGCGTGCCCCTGGACCCCATTCAACAGGGCCACGCCAGTCTGTGGCCCCGCCCGCCCGACCCGCCCGCAACTCCCAGCCCCCTTCACTCGTGGTCGGAGCGGGGCGGAGCTGCGCAGCACGTCTCTCCCAGCACGCGCCCCCTGTGCAGTCAACCTGCAGAGTAAGGATGGGCAACCTTCCCGAGGGAGCCCTTGCATTATTGCCGCTTCGGCCCATGCTTAGCGACTTTCGCTGGCCAGCCTCGTTCGAAAGCTTTCACGTGGGCCTCCAAGGCCTGCGCATGCTTACCGCGCACCCTTATCACACGGGTTGACTGTAAGATGCCGTTTTCCCTTTAGGGCTCAGGAGCATCTCGAGTCAGACTGTCTCGAACGCGTGCCCCGACCTCACATCATGCAGGATCTCTTGTCCCCTCCTCGGGCTTTGCTTTGGGCGGCGGTCGCCGTTGGAAGCGCCCTTCTCGAAGAAGAAAAAACTGCATTAACATGAACTGTTGGTGCTCCGCGCGGATTTCTTGGATCGGCGCCTGGGCCTCCCTGGCGGCGCCTCCGGCGCCGCCCCTGGCGCGCTCCTGGCGCGCTCCACGCGCCAGGGAGGGGGGTCCGGCGCGGATCCTAGACATCCGCGCGGAGCGCCAAGAGTCTATGTTTAAGCAGTTTTGTCTTATTCATGTTCTTCGTCTTCTTCCTCCTTCGGCTGCCCACAGAGCGGGTCGTGCCCACAGCCCGAGGGCTTTCCGCCGTGGCCGCTGGCATCTTGAGGTTGATTCGGAGCCCCCCTGGGGGGGACGACGGTCGGGAGCTTTTGAGATGCCGTGTCGCTCCGCCAGTTCTGGCCCACCACGCTTCCGCGCGACACGCGATCCACTTCCCAGCTTCCCAGGCCTGGGGGGTTACAGTCGGGAGCTTTGGGATGCCGTGTCGCTCCGCCGGTTCTGGCCCACCACGCTTCAGCGCGACACGCGATCTTTCTCCCAGTCCCCAGGCGTCAACGTCTCGGGCCTTTCCGAGCCTCCCCCCCCGCGCAGCGGAGCGGCACGCTGTTGGCTTACAGGGCGCAGCGTGTCGCCGGGGCCGCCGCGGAGACACGTTACGCAAACGTTCCTGACCGTAGATGAGAGCGGGCTCTGGCCTCAAGTCGGGCATGTCCCTCTACAGGTGGAACATGCGAGAACGTTTAACAAAAAACAGTCTGGGGACGATGTTTCGAGCTGTTGTTTTTTCCCGGAAAGGGCATCGGCCCAGGGTTCTCTTTTAGTAGGTAAACCTGTCCCCCGGTGCCAACTTGAGGGAGGCCGGCGAATTTTTTCCCTGATAAATAACGAGGTCGAAGGAGGCCGGCGAATTAAAATTTGAGGATGTCTCGAGCGAAACGCTTGTTTTTGAAATCCCGATCGATAAATCACAGGGTGCGGGACACCTCAGCACGACCACACCGGGGGGGGGCCCAAGAGGGCCCCAAGAGGGCCCCAGGAGGGCTCCAGAGGGCCCCAAGAGGGCCCCGAGAGCACGACCCGATCGATAAGTCACAGGGTTCGGACCACCCCAGCACGACCACGCCCCAGCACGACCACACCCCAGCACGACCACACCCCAGCACGACCACACCCCAGCACGACCACACCCCAGCCACACCCCAGCACGACCACACCCCAGCACGACCCGATCGATAAATCACAGGGTGCGGACCACCCCAGCACGACCACACCCCAGCACGACCCCACCCCAGCACGACCCCACCCCAGCACGACCACGCCCCAGCACGACCACACCCCAGCACGACCACACCCCAGCACGACCACTCCCCAGCACGACCCCACCCCAGCACGACCCCACCCTAGCACGACCACACCCCAGCACGACCACACCCCAGCACGACCCCACCCCAGCATGACCACACCCCAGCACGACCCCACCCCAGCAAGACCACACCCCAGCACGACCACACCCCAGCACGACCTTACCCACAGCACGACCACGCCCCAGCACGACCACGCCCCAGCACGACCACGCCCCAGCACGACCACGCCCCAGCACGACCACGCCCCACCACGCCCCAGCACGACACCCCCAGCACGACCACCCCCCCAGCACGACCACCCCCCAGCACGACCACCCCCCAGCACGACCACACCCCAGCACGACCACTCCCCAGCACGACCACACCGCCTTGGTTGAGTGGTTGCCTGTCGTCGTGGAATGTTTCGTGGGGTGTCTCGTGGAATGTTTCGCGGGGTGTCTCGTGAAATGTTTCGTGAGGTGTCTCGTGGAATGTTTCGTGAGGTGTCTCGTGGGCTGTTTCGTGAGGTGTCTCGTGGGATGTTTCGTGAGGTGTTGCCCAGTTCGGTATCATGAAAACGTGTCCATGCTCCACATGTCTATATCCCTTTCCGGGTTCGTGGGTCCATCATGTTTGTTGGATATGTTTTGGCTACTGCTACTTCATTCGAACATCCGCCTGTGGGAGGACATGCCCGACCCGACTCTGACCCAGAGGGGCGCCCGCCAAGGCGAGGGCCTCGACGACGACGGCCCGCTGGAGCTCGAGGGCGAGCACGTGCAAGAGCAGGAGCAGGAGCAGGAGCAGGAGCAGGAGCGCGGCGCCCCGCGAGGCATGGGCCCGGGTCCTGCGCTGGCTCGCCTCTTCCTCCTCCTCCTCCTCCTCCTCCTCCCTCCTCCTCCTCCTTCTCCCCTCCTCCCTCCTCCTCCTCTCCTCCTCCTCCTCCTCCTCCTCCTCATCCTCTCTCCTCCTCCTCCCCTCCTCCTCCCTCTCCTCCTCCTCCTCCTCCTCCTCCTCCTCCTCCTCCTCCTCCTCCTCCACAATTACTCAATATGAATACTACTCTCCCTCTTCCCCTGATGACTGAATGGGAGTAGCCGACCCCCCCCCCGCGTACTGTTTTTACACACAGGTTTCCCCGGAGTTGGGTTTTCGCCTGCATTTTTTCCAAAATGCTGCTCTCGCTGAGGCGCTGGCCTCATTTTCGGGCCCCGCTCGTTCCGAATCGTGCTCCCGCTGCAGCGTGGGTCTCATTTCCCGGAAAGGGCTTGAGCCCAGGGTTCTCTTTTAGTCGTTTACCCTCGGAATTGACGGGAAGAGGGCCGGCGGAATTATTCTGCGATGAATTATGTGCGGGAAGAGGGCCGGCCGAATTATTTTTGAGTATGTCTCGAGCGAAACGCTTGTTTTCCAGAATTTGTTGAGGTTGTCTCGAGCGAAGCGCTGGTTTTGCAGAGTTGGGGATGTCTCGAGCGAAACGTTGTTTTCAGAATTTGTTGAGGATGTCTCGAGCGAAAACGCTGGTTTCGCAGAGCCGGCCGCGACACGGAAAAGCGCCCCGCGTAGGAATTCCGAGGATGTCTCGCGCGTGCCGCGTCCCGCGAGCAGGAATTTCGAGGATGTCTCGACTAATTCGTGCGTTTTTCGAGGATTTCCTTGGCCACAGAGGTGGGTATCTAACATGTTCTGCCCGAGCTGGCACCACGTCGCTTCGCGTGTCCAGGGCACCCAGGTGGGTATATAACATGGATGTCCCGAGCTGGAGCCACGTGTTTTCACGTGTACAGGCCACCCAGGTGGGTATCTAACATGTTGGTCCCGAGCTGCAACCACGTGCTTCACCTGTCGAGGCCACCCAGGGGGTGTCTAAGATGGTGGTCCCGAGCTGGAACCACGTGTTTTCACGTGCCCAGGTCGCCCAGGGGTGTATCTAACATGGTGGCCCCGCGCTGGAACCGCGTGTTTTCATGTGTCCACGCCACCCAGGGGGGTATCTAACATGGTGGTCCTGAGCTGGAACCACGTGTCCAAGCCACCCATGAGGTATCTAACATGGCGGTCCCGAGCTGGAACCACGTGTTTTCACGTGTCCAGGCCACCCAGGGGGTATCTAACATGGTGGTCCCGCGCTGGAGCCACGTGTTTTCACGTGTGCAGGCCACCCAGGTGAGTATCTACATGGTGGTCCCGAGCTGGAACCGCGTGTTTTCATGTGTCCACGCCACCCAGGGGGTATCTAACATGGTGGTCCCGAGCTGGAACCATGTGTTTTCACGTGTCCAGGCCACCCAGGGGGTATCTAACATGGGCCTCCTGGATCCTTCCTGGGACTCGGAACGGAACATCGAGAGTTTCTTTGTTTTTTGCCTCCAGGCGCCTCTGGGCGTTCTTGGGCCCTCCTGTGCTCCAGACGACCGCATGTTAGATATCCCCCCTGGGTGGGCTGGATCACGTGTTTTTACGTGTGCAGGCCACCCAGGGGGGTATCTAACATGGTGGTCCCGAGCTGGAACCATATGTTTTTACGTGTCCAGGCCACCCAGGGGGATATCTAACATGGTTGTCCCGAGCTTGAATCACGTGTTTTTGCGTATCCAGGCCACCCGGAGGGGGTATCTAACATGATTGTTCTGAGCAATGGCCA